TCTCCCTCCCATCCCCGCCCAAGCTTTGGTGCGACAACCTCGGAGCAACGTATCTCACTGCTAATCCTGTGTTCCACTCCCGCAGCAAGCACATGGAAATTGACTTCCATTTCGTTCGAGAACGAGTAGCTACCGGTCAGCTACAAGTCGCTACATCTCCACCAACGATCAAATCGCAGATTTGCTCACCAAGCCACTTCCCCGCCAAAGATTTCTTCACTTCCGGTCCAAGTTGAAGGTCACTGGCCATCAACTTGCGGGGGCATGTTAAGGAGAAGAACGGGTCATGCGGGCTGTTATGTTTATTGCTCCACTTTTACTGCTACTTCTCTTTCTGTTCCACTTCTGTAGCACCACTCCTCCTGGAATCTCTCTAGATAGTTAGACACAATCGTTCTCCTCCTGTATAAAAGAGTGATTGATAACAATACAATACTCAGTGAATTAACTGAGATTTCACGCCTCACCACTTCCGCCGCCGCCACTTCCCCCTCCAATCCCTAATTACAACCTACAGCAGGCCAACATTGACATCCCAATCAACAACATCAACCACGCCAAAATCCAATTCCACGCCTCCACGGGCGGGAAAACCTGCTCCACTTTCGAGGCCGTCGCTGCCAGCCTCTGGAAGCACAGATCCGCCACGAAAGATCTGGATCCGAGCGCGGAGGTGCAGCTCGTCTTCTTCGCGAACTGCCGCTGGCTGGTGGACCCCCTGCTCCCCGACGATTTCTACGGGAACTGCTTCTTCCCGGTGAAGGTGACCGCCTCAATCGATTCGCTGGCGGCGGGGGCGGTGGTCGGAGCGATCGAATTGTTTCCACAACCAGAAGATGAAGTGGGTCTTTTACACTTGTGGCGATTATGATAATATACAAGATTCACTAGCAGAGAGAACATAACTAAACTAGTCATTGGCTACCAGGACTTCCATTTGCGGGCTGCTCTCCACTTTCCTTACAATCAGCTTCTTCTGCGGCGGGAGATCGGAAGAAGGATCCGAGTCGAGAATGACAGCTTGATGTAAAAAGAGATTAAATAATTAAGAGAATACAACTCTCCAAGGCCAAAAGGCTATGTAGAGTGTTCGACTTCCTGTGAAACTCGGACTCTTTACCACAACGGCTGTACTGGTCGCCTATCGGGCTTGTTTCCCTTTCTCAATTTTTGTCACAATGGTCGATGATGGTTGATTGTGGCGGCATCTGATCGCAGATACCCAAAGCTAGTTGCAGCGAGACTCCAGGACTCCGTCACTCCAATTCTCGCCTTCGTGCCCTTGCTGCGACTCTCTCCATCATACCAATTAACACAATAACCAAAACTCATATAGAAAGATTAGTGAGGACATATACGATCCGGCCAAAGGCTAAGGGAATGGAGAACCCAGAAGAACAAAGCGGCCATGGTCGCCAGAATCGGTCCAACGATCGGACAACCCTATTCGGTAGATACAACAGCACCAAACATTTTAAAATTGTTAGAAACCGAACAGAAAAATTAGGGTTACCGAATTTGGCTGAGTCGCGGACTAGGTTGCTCTCTTTAAAACGTTCGCGGAACTGCCTCGTAATTTGCACAATAGACTATCAGTCGGTCGCCTCCAGGATAAAACAGTCATTCTGATTTGTTGCTCATCGGTTTTGTGCGAAAATCGGAGCTCTATGAACTCTCTCTTTGTCGTGTTTCTGCTCTTCTGAGGTGTGTTTAGAGGGTCTGGGGGGTCTGCTATTAATAGGAGCAGAAAACCCAGAATATTTCATCTTTCTTTGGGAATAAGTCACATTTTAATTAGGGAGATAATTACTCCCATAATTAAAATGCGTTATATTAAGATAATTAATCCTAATTATCTCAAGAATATTCCTTTTATTAATTATCCATCTTATATACGTATCTAGAAAGAATACTGGATAATTAATTCAAATAGCTTTCAAAAGCTATTCATTCCCAACAGAGATGGTGGCGGCATATGGTGATGTTAAAGAGGCTTTTCCCCGGCCGATTCCGTCGAAAAAACAGATCGCCACAAAGTCGCGCTCTCATACTAAGCAATTCACGAATTATGGATGCTCTGCAAAAAAATCACGTTTTGACGAATTAGAGTGGGACCGTGGAGGCTATGTAGGCGAATTAGGTTACATGAGTTTTACCCATACTCACCCTCTCCCTAGTCAAAGCAAGGATTCCACACGTTAACTAGGTCGGGGGTAATCAGGTACCCGCATTCATGGGTATGATTGCCATCCCTAATCAGATTGTCTTTCTTTTCCATCCGCTACTCCACTTATTTACAAGTCAAAGCGTGTGTACTTATTAATGAGGTAAACTATAGCTCATTAATGAGTCTAAATGATTTGAACTTTAAATTACAATCTAAAATAATTTCTTAACTCTAATTGATCCCATATTTATATATTTTGTTGGTATAACACTATTTAGTTCAAATTTTTTAACTAGTTCACATAGTTTGTCTTTCAAATTATAAACTGAGAACTATTATTCACGTGCTTTAGATGATTATTTATTGTGAAGTATATCAATTATCAACAAACCAATTCATAAATCATATATTGATTCACTCATAATTAAGTCGCTAGTCGAGTTGGTGCGCTTGTCACATTACCCCGTCAAGCTCACAATCTAATCCCAACAACATACGAAGTCGAACTGAATTGCAAGTCTCACAAGTTGAATAAAATTTACATCAACTTCGACTGTTTAGTAAACTACTCGAATATCGAACGATATGTTTTTCGAGTCGAGATAAGCGGATCCGGTCTTTTTGCAACAACCATGCATGTCATTCTTGAATAAATAGTTTGTGACAGGTTTAAGGGTTGCTACCCAGCCAGCAAGTCGGGTCGGAAAAATTAAGAGCATAGAGAAGTAGGTTGGTTGATAGTGATCGATCGTGGTCACCAAGGATTAGTAAAAGTAAAACCATGTGGATTAAAGCTTGGGGGGCATATTAATGGCTGAAGACAGCCGCAGAAAGTAAGTTCCATGCCGTTACAATAATATATACAGTCTTTACTGAAGCTTCGCACCACAGGCCATTAGCCCACATCCAGGGCTTGCTGGCCCAGCCTGCCTCCCCTCTCTTTTCCACGTCCTCCGGGAAAAGTTAAGTTGGAGACTTGACTTTACAATTCCTGAATTCCTAATTATTGATACAATAACCACCAGTTGCTTAACCTTGTAGCTAGATGCCAGCCGATCGATGGTCCTTGGCGTGGGTAATGAAGACGTAGACTTGCTCGCCGGCGAAGTCAAGTCTTCCTTAATTTCCCTCCCCGGCACATGGAGATGGAGCCGCTTGCAAGTTGCAATCTCAATCTCGCCACAAACTCCGGGGACTTCCTTCCTTTCTGCAGCTTCAGGAAGAGGTCAAAGGACGCGGGTGGTTCGATTCGATGGTCCCGTCAAATTAAAGCCGACCGAATCGGCCAGTTAATATATGGTCCTGGATTAAGGGATGGTCAATAATAAAAGGGCCTGCCCCTATAGTTGCACAGGCCGAAGATCAATTACAAAAACTAGTGTAGAGCCCGGCCCGTTGGCCGGGTAGCTTTGCCATCATGTTTATTTGTTGGGAGTTGCCTCGCTATTTAGAATTATGGCCATGGACTTCGTCTAAATTACATATAGAGCGGCGGTAATTTTTGCAGAAGAAGTACTTAAAAAAAATAATTGGGTGTTTGCCTCAAAAGCTATTTGAAGTAAGAGGTTGTGTAAAATGAGTATAAATGACTCATAATATAAAATATGAATAAAAATTCTAATAAAGAGTATTCAAAATAGATCTTGTTAGATTTCTTTATATAAGATAATATGATTTATAATTTAGTTTATTTTTAAATATTATAAATGAAAGAAAATTAAAATATAGTAAGAAAAATCTTGTATTTTTAAAACAGCTTTTCGCAGAAGCTCCAAATTGGAGCTTCTGCTTTTATATTATGCAAAAGCGCTTTTCAGCATTTCAAAAGTCAAGCTTTTAGAGTTGTTTGGTCCTATTTCGGCTTTTGAAGCCGAAAAACACTTCGAAAAGCCGTGCCAAACATAGGCATAGTTTAATTATTGTATTTAGTAGTAGCAAATCTGTGGGACCCATAGACTTTGAGTGTTCGAATATGTGGGCTTCACGAACTTGAAAATCTCACATCTTTATGTGGAATTGATCATGAACTTTGAAATCCACCATTTGTGACCAACCTATCCTCCATATTTTCTTTCTCTTCTCATACCAATGAGGGTAATAAAGGTCAATTTCACTTCATATATACATATCTCATTAACAAATTTTATCATGAAATCTATGAAACAAACAATGATATTTTTCAAGTCCATAATGAACCCAACCCTCATACATCCATGGGTTTTCAAAAACCAAATTTTATCAAACCCTTCATTTTTCAAATCCACAAAGCAAACGAGGCATTAATTAATTTGTTTGATGTAACCTCAAAATTTATCGAAAAGTTTTAATGAAAAAAGTGGAAACTGACATAGATATTGTCACATCGAGCTCCACTTGAACTCCCACAAGGCCACAACCTCTTCAAATTCTATTGCCAGTTTCAAATAGCTCTTCCAACTCAAAATGACTCAGTTTGAGAGAATTCCTTACTAGGCTACTCCAATTACTAGTGAGTAGTGAGTAATAGTCTAATATTATGGCAGAGTAGGTTAGGGTTCATAAAGTTTGAAGACCCCAAACCTATATACAACTCAACTCAATAATATCTGCTTCACATATCAAAACCCACACCCCCATCCATTTCCTTTCACTGAAATCGAACTTGATTCCTCTCCCACCCTTTCCTTTTTCCGCCTTTTTATCTTTCCACTGCAAAAGGTCCTTTTCCCTTCCTTCCAGCGGCTCCTTTTAAAGAACGACACTACAGACTCCAGTACTTCACTGCCCCAACTAAACTCCAATCCCCCCACCAATTCACGAGACCCGTTGAGAAAAAAACAGAGCATCTCCTCCCATGGCGTCTCCTCCTCCCCCTTATCCCCTCATCCTCTCTCTCCTCCTCCTAATCTCCACCGCCGCCGTCACCACCGCCATCACAATCCCCATCTCCCCCTCCTCCGCCCCAGCCTCCACCGACCTCCACCAAATCCTCGCCCACCTCGCTTCCGCCTCCGTCTCCCGAGCCCTCCGATTGAAATCCACCCACAACCTCCCACAAGATTCCTCCCCTGTTTTCGCCACTTCCTTAGTCAAAACCCCACTCTTCCCCCGCAGCTACGGCGGATACTCCATCTCCCTCAGCTTCGGCACTCCACCGCAGTCCACCAGCTTCGTCATGGACACGGGAAGCTCCCTCGTCTGGTTCCCCTGCACCTCCCGCTACCTCTGCTCCCGCTGCAACTTCCCCAACGTCGACCCCGCCGCCATCCCCTCCTTCATCCCCAGAAACTCCTCCACCGCCATGCTCCTCGGCTGTAAAAACCCCAAATGCCAGTGGATTTACGGGCCCAATGTCGAATCGAAATGCTCCGGCTGCGACGCCCCTGGATCTTCCCCCAATTGTACCCAGACCTGCCCTCCGTACATGATTCAGTACGGTCTGGGATCCACCGCCGGTCTTCTTCTCACCGAGACGCTCGATTTCCCGGAGAAGAAGGTTCCCGATTTTCTCGTGGGTTGCTCGATTCTCTCCGCCAGGCAGCCCGAAGGAATCGCTGGGTTTGGGCGTGGGCTCGATTCGCTTCCTTCCCAAGTCGGAGCCAAGAAATTCTCCTACTGTTTGGTCTCCCACAGCTTCGACGACGCGCCCGTTTCCAGCGATTTGGTTCTGGATCTGGATTCTGGATCTGGGAAGAAGACGGCGGAGGTTAGCTACACGCCCTTCAGAAAAAATCCCGTGACTTCCAATTCCGCTTTGCAGACCTATTACTACGTCAATCTCCGGCAAATCGTGGTCGAGGGGAAGCACGTGAAGGTCCCGTCGGAGTATCTGGAGCCCGGTTCCGACGGAAACGGCGGCACGATTGTGGACTCGGGGACGACTTTTACTTACATGGAGCGGCCGGTGTTCGAGGCGGTGGTGAAGGAGATTGGGAAGAGGATGGCGAATTTCACGGTGGCGACGGAGATTCAGGATCTTACTGGGTTGAGGCCCTGTTACAATGTTTCCGGCCAGGACACGGTGTCGGTCCCCGAATTGAGCTTCAAATTCAAGGGCGGAGCGGAGATGAAGCTCCCTGTGACGAATTACTTCGTGCTTGCCGGCGATGGGGCCATTTGTTTCACGATTGTGAGCGATAATGTGGTTGGGACGGGACTGCGAGGCGGGCCGGCGATCATTTTGGGGAATTATCAGCAGAGGGATTACTACATTGAGTACGATTTGGAGAAGGAGAGGTTCGGGTTCAAGCGGCAGGTTTGTGCCTGAAATTAACGGGTATCCGTACCTTCAATAAGTCAGTCAGTCCGCCGGGGAGTACTCCGTCCAGGAAGAGGATGGTGGACGCCGGCGGGACGGTTGCAGCAGCAATGGCGGCGGGCGTTGTAGCTGTAACGGTGGCGCGGAGTTTAATTTTTTCTAATTTTAATTACTTTTCCGGTGGGGGCAATCGATCATTGTTGGAAATACCGTTGGAGTTTTTTTAGCTATTAAGCAAAGTCAAGAAAAGATTGTAAGCGGGAAAATGAGGAAAGGTTTGACTTGATCGGGGATTTTGTTGGATTAATTATCTGGGATTAACTGAATCTAATTAACGAATTGCAATTATTACTGGTCTGACCTGACACGCTGGCATGTAAAAAGGAATCATGTGCGAATAGTGGAGAATTGCAATCCCTTCATAGTTGACTCTTCTAATATACTTTTGCTCTTACAAGCAAAGGGAATTTATGAAACTATAGAAAAAGAGCCTCAAGCAACGAGAGTGTTGTTACTTTAATTATGAAGAAAGTAGGCATTATTGTTCACTTCAGTTTTGCTTAATTATTAATTCTCATAACAAGTTACTGCTATTATTGTTATTATATGGTGGGGAATGGGAATAAGAATCCACAAACGGTTGGTTTCACTCAAATGATTTGATCCATAAGCATAACTTGGAAGTGGATGGATCAAAATTAATATAATTGTTATTTCAAATTCAATTGCACTTGAGTTGGAGTTGAATTTTCTCGTTTTCAATCAAATTCATTCATATTTAGTTGATACGGTACAAAGTATATTACTAAAACGATGTTAATATTACTAATTCATGGCAACAGAAGGAACATTTGATCGAATTTGGACAATGAAACATACAAGGTATCTATATGCTCATGTCACTGATCTATATCATTTGAAGTTTGAACATACTGTGTCAATAGTTTGAGCCGTCAAATAAGCCTCCTTCTTAAACTGATTTCACTTACCAATATGTTAGCTGAAATATTATTTTAAACTGCGATAAATCATTATAATTTTTTTTTTTAAAATGAGACTATTTCCCTCAAGTATATGGATCGAAGTCTGACAATCTGACTCCATTACAATAAGGCGCTTGGTTCGTATAGTCCAAAACTCTATTATTGTTAGTCCATGTTGAATTTGTTAGCTGAATTTGAACAACGATCTCTTAATTTCATCGATCTTATATATTGTGTTCATTTGATATTGCTAATTTCATAAGTTTTTTTGTTAGTTTTTATCATAGCACAGTCGCAAATAAGAACTTGTATCATATACCTAGGGGTTGAAACCGATACCTAATTCCATTTGGTGAGTAAACTCCATTCCATGTCCCAAACCCATATGGGTTAACGGGTACCCATTACCCGTACGGGACGGATAATGGGTACCCGCGGGCATCCATAATTAAAAAAAAATCATTCAAATTTGTTCTGTGAATTAAGAAACGGAATACACCAAATAATAATAAAAACAAAAAAAAGCCTTCCTTCAATTCTACCTCTATGCCGCATACACTAATCCAATCTTCCATTACATAAACATACAAAACAATTTCCTTTTCATACAAAACCAAACCAAAATTTAACGGGGAAAAGAACATTAATTATCATGCTTGTCAGGTTATTAATTAGTGGAAAGCAGCCATTTAATCACCAGATTAATTCTTTCCATTCTCACTAATGAACCAAAACTGTACTGCACACACTATTGTTGACGAAGTAGATTAAAAAAAGGAGAAGTGACACAAACGGGTATTCCGGGTACCCGTTGTAGAAATTTTTTATCCCAAGTCCCATCCCGTAACCCTTAAAAAAGATACAGGTATGGGTATACCCAAATACCCATTTCCCATTGCCCACCCCTACATATACCTAAATCAATATATTATGTATGTACTCTTCTATTGTAAGCTATGATTAATGAGAATATACTCAACACACTCAATATCTCAAACCAACTTATGTTGTGAGCTATGTTATCTAATTATAAGGCAACTTGGAAGCTATATCGAGTTGGATTCCGTGAACTACAATATCGATCCACCTTGTGACCTATAAAGAATTCATCTCACGAGCTGAGCTTAACAAGCTACAGAGTTAATCTTGTTCGAGAGCTAAGCTCCACGAGCCAGCAAGTGGAGTATAATTAGCTCGCCAACTTGTGTAGTCCAGTAAGGCCTCGATCAAGTTTGGCTCATTTACTTACGAACTGGCTTGTTAAGTTACACTTCTAAGAATCAAACGAGTTTTTCCAATTCAAACACCGGGTCATTCGAACAACTCAGTTCATTTGCGATCCTAATAGTAACACATATATTTAGGGTAAATTGCAAGTTTGGTCACTCGAATTACTAAAAAGTTTCACGTTTGCCACTAAAATTAATTTATTTCATTCAAGGTCCTAATAGTAACACATATAACTGATAACATCTGTATTCTGCAAGAGCTAGTTCATTCTATGAGCAGGAGAAAGGGTTGGACAGGCTGGATGACGTTGAAGATTGACCTGGCGAAAGCATACGATCGGATAAGGTGGGAGTTTGTAAGAGATACGCTACAGGCAGCAGGCACGCCTCCCAAATTAATGGAGCTCACCATGGCGTGCATTACGTCAGCTGCCATGCAGATTCAGTGGAATGGTGGACTAACAGAGCCTTTCTACCCTCCGAGAGGTCTACGTCAGGGTTGCCCGTTATCGCCATACCTCTTCACCCTCTGCATGGAGAGGCTTAGGCACCTGGTAGACGACTCTGTGACAAGCGGCCAATGGAAGCCGATCAAGCTTGTGAGTTCTGGCTCGCGTCTATCTCGCCTGTTCTTTGCATACGATCTTATTATGTTTGGGGAGGCGACGATGGAACATGTGCAAGTGATTTTGAATTGCTTCAAGCTTTTTGGAGGAGCCTCAGGCCAGAAGATCAGTAAACCGAAATCTCGGGTCTTTTTCTCAACCAATGTTTTGCCTCGCTCGTCATAGTCTGAGTGAAGCACTCGAGATTCCCGAGACAACCAATCTGGGTAGGTACCTGGGCGTGCCGGTTATCCATGATCGGATATCAAAAGCTACCTACACATAATTGATAGATAGAATAGACTCGAGGCTTGCAGGATGGAAAGCTTCTACGATGTCATTAGCGGGCAAGATCACGCTAGCCCAGTCGGTGATCTCCTCCCTCCCAGCTTATACTATGCAGACAGCGTTTCTACCGGCGAGTGTGCATGATTATATTGACAAGAAGATCCGAGTCTTTGTATGGGGGAGTACAGACCAGGGGAGGAAAATTCATCTTGTGGACTGGGAGACACTCTGTAGACCAAAGGCAGAATGAGGGTTGGGGCTTAGAGATGCCACAAGGACGAATGAAGCTTACATGTTAAAGATTGCTTGGCGTTTGCTCACTAACCCAATCGAATTGTGGGCCAAAGTGATCCGGTCGAAGTATTTTCGTCAAACCGAGGAAGGATTGGTGGCTCGGTCGACAGGAAGGTTATCTAACCTTTGGCGGGGTGTGTTGAGGGTGGTGCACCTTGTAGAGGAAGCTTCGAGTTGGAACATTAGAAGTGGAAGGGTGGCTAGGTTTTGGAGCGACCGGTGGATGGCGGATGAAATGCTCCTGAAAGATTTTGCGCCTAACCTCCCGGAGGAGTGCTTGCATTTGCCCATTGCCGAATTTATGCTAAATGGTGAGTGGAACAGGGAATTTTTAAATGCGTACTTACCTCCCCATGTTGTCTCGCAGGTCGAACTCCATCCGATCCCGGCGGAACCAGAAGAGGATGTAAGGGTGTGGCGTTTCTCCCACACTGGCGAGTTCACCTTGAAGTCGGCATAAGAGTTGTTGGATATCGGAGCTGTAAGCAGCAACAAACATCCAGTTTGGCGCACGATTTGGAGGACTCCCACCATGCAGAGAGTTCGGACGTTCTTGTGGCTGATGATTCACGGAAGGCTGCTGACGAATGCTGAACGCTAATGATGCCACCTGACGGACAACAGCAGCTGCAAAATTTATGGAGGAGCCTGCGAGACAACCATGCACGTCATTTGGGACTGTCCCTTTGCGAGAGCTATGTGGGTGGAATTTCTGGATAGCGAGCCTGATACCAGCTTCTTCGAGTCGAATATGAAGCAATGGTCTTTTCACTACTTATCAGGTCGTAGTAATGTGGTCGACCCTACTTTGTTTGCAGGTACGTGTTGGCTGCTGTGGAAAAACCGGAATAGTCACTTGTTTGAAGGTGAGCTGAAGACCTATGCACCAATTCAGTTTGACACTAAGCAGCTAAAACATCGGATCCGCACCACTTTTGAGAAGGAAAGTTGCATTTTCGGAGCCGGGGGACTCCGAGAACAACGACTCATTGGCTGGCAACCACCTCAATTGGCTGGACGTGCGTTAATAACGATGGCTCAGTGATACATGCACACGAGAGCACGACGTGTGGAGGAATCGTGAGGGGAGACGATGGCCGCTTTATCAGAGCTTTCTCAGCGAACCTTGGAGGGGGTTCGATCACTCGAGCAGAGCTGGCTGGAATTGTGCATGGATTGAAGCTTGCCTGGGAAGAAGGGGCTAGGAAGGTGGTTCTTCAGACAGATTCCAACACGGCGATTTCTCTTATTGAATCTGCAACGACCAACCACCCACATTACATGAGCGTTGTTGAGATTCGTCGCTGGCTAGACAGACCTTGGCAGGTCCAGATTGAGCATGTGTATCGTGAGGTGAACTATGTTGCTGATTATCTAGCCTCTCTTAGACATTCCCTATCTGTAGGGATGCATGTTTTTTATACTCCCAGTACCATGTTGCTATATTGGTTGTACTTTGATCGGGTTGGGGTTCAAACGCCCCGGTTGGTTTAATGCATTAAGGTTGGGCCGCCCTTTAAGCTCCCCGTTCTCGACCCAAAAAAAAATTTAGTTCAACAGTTCAAGTTTGGTCATTCTCTGTTAGCCTCCGTTAAATTTTTCTGATGTGACAGTAAACTTTGACAGTTGACCGTTAAATGAGTGACATGTCAAATAAAAATTACTTAAAAAAATAAAAATTAATCCTTTTAATTTCCACCTCAGTTTAACAATAAATTAAAATTAAATATAATTACCAAAATTAAAATGTAATCCTTTGGAAATTAAAAGAATTAATTTTTATTTTTTAATTAATTTTTATTTGCCACGTCATTCATTTAACGGTCAATTATCAGAGTTGACTGTCACATCAGAAAAATTTAACGGAGACTAACAGAGAGTGACCAAACTTGAATGGATGAATTAGTTTTAGTGACAATGAATGAAATAAATTAATCCTAGTGACAAACATGAAATTTTTTAGTAATTCAAGTGACCAAACTTGCAATTTACCCATGTATTTAATTAAGGTCCACCATCTAAGTCTACACAAAAATGGTTATATCAATAAAGGACAAAAAAAAATTAAGAAGAGGGGAGAGGGGACCAATTTTTAAGTGGTGATGTGTGAAGTGTTCATCCAATTTGGTCACTTGGTAGAGAGATAGGAAAGCAAATGATGCAGTAACAACAACAGAGTCCACAAGCTGAGGTCTGCTCATTTGGACCACTCGATAGGCTTCGAAATCAATAAATTATACATATGCATGGGTGTGAAAAACTGGGATGGAGTTCAGTATATTCAATGTTTAAGTAGCCTTATCTCGTACCGTTCGGTTGGCCGGAAATACCGGATATCATATCCAAATTGGTAGACGGTTTAATGGGTAGAAGATGGTTTAACCATAATTAAATCACGAAAATATAAAATATTCTACCAACGAATTATCCAGTATAACTTTCGATACAATTTCACGATTCATAGTATGTACATGCTTATTGATTATATCGGTGCTTTTGTTTCGTCGAAAAATTACTTCCGATAAAAAAATGCTATATCCAACACTTTTTTCCACCGTTTAACTGGAAGAAGAAAGTGGTCAGCAGCCATACGATAAATAGAAGTCTCTTCATGAGGACAAGAAGTGAAGTGAAGTCACATGTATGTGGATTTGGCCAACAAACATATTGGGTCTGGAATTTGTAAGAGTGTAGACCAACCAACGCACGTTAGAGTTAGACAAAACACAGTGTTGGCGCTTCTGCAATTGGCTGTGGATGTGGTATCGTAATATTGCATTATATTACAGACTTACAGTGCAGGCTGGAACTGCGGTATTTGGCTCTTTGTTCTTTCATGGGGTAGGGGTTCGGTTTTCTTTTTTCGCTCGTCCAATATTATGGCACTTAGCAACTTGCATATCCGCTAGTTAATCACCGGCCGGCTGGCCGGCTGGCTTGCTTCAGGATTTCTTTTTGAGACATGTATTTATTAGGTCATCCTTTACGAAGGAGGAGCCACCCAATAATAGGCCCTTGTGGCTTCATTGGTTGGACCACACCTTTTTCTTTACTTAACTAGGAAGTCATTTTATAATTAAACTAAAAATTAGGAAAACATTCTGAAAACATTCTATAGTTTATTTGTTTTGTTTTGTCTTGTTTTGGATGGATTTTTTTTTTTTTTGTCAAAGATATTTCTGAAAGCGCACAGCTAGATACGAATTGGAAAACTTTTCAGGCAACGGTAATAAATAATAATACATATAAGTAAAGGGACGACGGTGGACAAATAGCCGAATCATCAATAAGAGAGCATTTTTCGCCACCCAACGGACAACTCTTTATACCTGTACGACATGAGCAGGTTCTGACAGGAAGTATTGTATCACCTACAAAATTAACAAACAAATGTTCTTGAGGAAATTTGGCCTCAACTACGGGTGTAAGTTTGACCCTAAAAATCGCTGACCCATCCCGACCCTTCTTGTCCCTGAGGATCGGGACGGGTCAGTTTATCTATAAGGTCAGTTTAGGGACGGGTCAGCTTTTGACCCTATAAGGGTCGGGATAACTTAGGGATTGGTCACTTTTTGACCCTGTGAGGCTGTGACCCTTAGCAACAACAAATATCTCATACCACATTGGACCTCTTTGTAAAAAAATTCAAATTTTAGGTACTAAATTGCAAAAATAAAAAAATTTGGGTACCAAAATGTAATTTTACCACCAAATTTTAAGGACTTATTTGTATTTACAAATTTTACCACCAAATTGGATACCATAACATAATTTGTAAAAAAAGTAGTGTGCAAATTAGGGTCGACCCACTGACTCAGCCCGTCCCGTCTTATCACTTGAGGGTCAGACAAGATCAAAAAGGAGACATGAACCGGATAGGACAATTATCCATCTTGACCCTTCAAAGACGAGTCAGATAGGATCAGAGACGGAAATGGACGAATCAGGACAATTTTCAGCCCTAGCCTCAATCGACATGAAGATAATCACCTGCAAAAATTAGAATGACTAGCTTCTTTCCAGAAGTGCCGACTCCATGCCCTTTCTTCATCAACCCAATACTAACCCTTCCATACTTTTTTCTTCTTCATAAATCCAATACTTTCCGATTATTTTCAAATAATACTTTCCAATTATTTTCAATAATATTTCCAATTATTTCTAGTGAAGTATTCGTTAGTATTTTGGAGACCGGTTTGAAATGTAGGGCATGTGTGGTTGCAATCAATTACTTTGTCCTTGTAACAATTTGTACAGAAATTTAAGATATAGTCATTTTTCAACATTAAAATTAGTATTCTATATAACTAATATCAAAATAATATATCATATGTTGGTTACAAACTTAATTCTATTTTCATTATCTGACTTATTAGGATAGAAAACAAGAAAATAAAATATATTAAATGTAAGGACAAAATGATAACATCATACAAATAATTTATTAAAAAATAGCTCATTAGTTTTTTATTTATTTTTTGAATGAACTACATATTATAAAAAATACACATGATCAAATATCCATATGAGCTAATTTAGCTGTGGATAATTATCTTACCCAAACCGGTGTAGCAGCTGTGTTGGGCCTTGGGTAAATGGTATGATGGATCACGTAACGCAAGCCCAATTAAACTCTTATGCCGTCGGCCCAAAAGTATGGCGCAATGCAAGCCGTTGTTCCATTCCACAAAAGGGGGAAACCAGAAAAGGATATTTCTCCCTCGGACCTACCCACAAACTTTCGGCACAGCGCATGATGACCTGATCTGGGAGACTGGGAGAGTGGGAGTGGGACAGAAAGCAATCGTTTGGCAATGGCTTGGCTTGTCCATCAAGATGGCGCGAATAAAGTCTTATTTCATTTCATTTATCAAACAATATATCAAACTCCATACCCGAAATTTCAAAAACAGTTTAGAAACGTGAAAGAAAAAACGTTTGAGTGTTGTTCGTTTTTGGAGTTTCGCTCTGCCGCATTTCGGGTAAACTTTCTTCTGGTTGTTTACTCATTCTCAGCTTTACTGTTTGCTGTACCATTTCCGTCAAGGCTAGCCAAGAATGTGTCGCGTCGTTTCAAGTTCTGGTTCAGCGGTAATTCTTGATCGGGAGGACTATGGTTTTGATTCATGTTCCATAGCTAATTTTCTGTGGCTGCAGATACTTGATCAATCAACTACAGGAGATCGGCTTAATTGCAAGTTTGGTCACTCGAATTGCTACAAAATTTCACGTTTGCCACTCAAAATTGATTTATTTCATTTATAGTCACTTAAATTAGTTGAACAGTCCAAGTTCAGTCACTCTCCGTTAACCTCCGTTAGACTCCGTTAATGACGACCGTTAAGTGATGACGTGGCTAACAAAAATCACAGTAAGCATATTTTAATACTAAAAAACGACGACCCAACCCGCCACGTTATATTTACTCGCCATGTCAGCCCTACTTGCCCAACCTGCGAACCAACCCAATAATTGACCCAACCCCAAACCCGAGACACGACCCCCTGAATCTAGATTCTTGGCTCTGTACTATTCGCCTCGCAGAGAAGAAAGGGGAGAGATCCACCCTCGCTTATCGCTTCACTCCGCCGCTGGTAGTTGAACTTTCTTCCTCTTATTTTGGCCCATCGTCGCTAGGCTTTATTGTGTTGTGGTTGTTGTTTGGTTGCTGACAACTACTGCAGCGCCGAAGTTGAATTTGGATTTAGTTTGGAACTCTTTCGCCCTTTCTCGTTATTCCTTTCTTATTTTATCGTTATCTCCTCGCATCGTTCTTTCGATCATATTGTATGCTTCTAGATCGTCTTCCAAGTCCGGAGGGATTCCGTCATCTGAAATTCTGCTTCGTTTATTAGAATTTTGGTGGTTGGTTGTGTAGCATATACAGTAGGGAATCCTTCAATGGTGTTTTCAACTTGAGTTCTGAGTTCAGGGGGTCGGGTCTCGGGTTTGGGGTTGGGTCAATTATTGAGTTGGTTCGCGGGTTGGGCAAGTAGGGCTGACATGGCGGGTAAATATGACGTGGCGGGTCGGGTCGTCTTTTTTTAGTGTTAAAATATGATGACTGTGATTTTCTGTTAGCCACGTCATCACTTAACGGTCGTCATTAACAAAGTCTAACGGAGGTTAACGGAGAGTGACCGAACTTGGACTGTTCAACTAATTGAAGTGACTATAAAT